AAGTGTAACACAACTACATAATGTAAAAGAATACACAAATACATTTGAGGTACAATAGATTCTTAGAAAGAACCAGAAAAATGAACCAACCTTCATTCTTTTTGCACTCAACTGTATATCCTTTCCGTTTTTGCCATATCTCAGTCAGATCTTCACAGAATTGCTTAAAGTTTTGATCAGTCTGCGGAGAATTAAAATATCTATCTACGTATGTAATTTACGTGAAGTGATATTTAGTTTCTGTGGTACAATGAATTTTTCAACAAAAGACCGGTGTGGAAGTGCAACTTGTTTCATTCATGACACACTCCATATTTTATTTTATTCCCTATGTACATTTTTATTAGTTTTATTTTATTTTACGAACCTTCGCTGAGTTTGATACTGAACGCCATCAACGAGTATTAGGAAGACTTTGATTTGACAAGATGTATGACATCATTGTTTGGCTTTGTTCGCGCCGCACCTCTGGTGAAGGATTCGGACTTGGACACTTGCATTATTTTCTGTACGCTTTTATTTTGAATTGTTCATTACTCTCTTCCGCTTTTATTTCTTTGTACTTATGACAGATCTCACCGACCCGAAGCTCAATCTGAGGACCAGACAGTAGGGTAGAGCATCAACACTTGGGATGTCCGCACTGAAGGCGGCAGTTGCGCACGTAAATAGACCTCTCCAAGTGTCGTACGTTCCCCGAGTCATACCTGGTTCAAAGGTTTTGCCTAGGAATCGAGTGGGTGATGTCAATTCTATTTTTGTACTTTTTTTGGTTCCTTTTTGAACATTTTGACGTTCTTCCCCAAAGAATTGGTCTGGCAGCATGAGAGTACGTGCGTTGCCTTGTGATTTTCTATTTTTGTACTGTTTATAAGGTGTCCTCCCACCTGTCGAATGGAGTCGTCTTCTTTCCCCCTCTTTCATAGTCAGATTCTTAAGTCGTCCACTCGTCTCCTCAAGAAATTCTAAAGTTTACACGATGTTTCTACAAGTCATCTTCAAGTTCTCTAAGTTATATGTTCAAGGTGTATCAAGTAATTACAAGCATTTTGAATTGATGCGTCCCAAATGCGTATTCAGCTGAGTTGCCTTTCTTTTACTGGAATCCTCTCACACCACGTTCTCTGCCACCGAAAGTCCTTTTCGAGCGCTTATCTGTGCATTGTCCCTCTTTGACATCCCCTCATCCATTCGACATCCTCTTCACTGAGCCCTCTACATATGTAGATTTCCTTTGACGTGTTTCTCTTTTTCTTTATTTGGCTTTACTTTACTTCATTTCTCAGCAAACGACCAGATCACCTGTCCTTTTTAGGAACTCTTAGCTTCCATCTGAAGGAATGATTCGCTTCCACACCAGTCGCAACTGGTCTGGACCAGTTTTTTTTGCATTGTGGACCGATTAGGACCAGTCTAAAAGGGACCAGTTGCGGTCCCTTAATATCTGGATCAGTCTGGACCGGTTGTCGTTTTTAGGTAAAAAACTGGACTAGACTGGACTTTAAAACACTATCTGTTGCAGTTCGGTCCAGTTTTTTGATGTTTCTTGAATTGAGAGGACTGGTTATGGTTACAGTCTAAGGCGCTGGGCACCAAAATACTGGACCAGATCGGACTTTCAAACACTACTCAAGCACGAGTTTCTTAACTTCTGCATGCAAATCTGGTCATCTGCTATGCTCGTCCATGTTCTTGGCCATAGTTTCCACATAGGAGGTGCTGTTGAGCTTCTTCTAGCTGGTGTGCCTCCCAAGATTGTTGCTGTGACAGGCGGTTGGACTTCTTTGGCCTTTTTACTCTACTGGCGCCGCATGGAGGAGATTCTTCCAATGAGCACATCAAAAGCATACAACAAGTCCCATTTCAACTTGTTGGCTGCAATCTTTGAACAGTTCCATGTCAACAACAAAATCCCATTGGTGCTGCTTACCACCCAGCACTTCACCTTGCCCTACTGATTCCTGCAGGAATGACACTGGAATCCACAGAAATGGCACTGGAATCCACAGAAATGAACTAAAAAGGATATTTCCTCTGGAATGGGCCTGGATTCCACTAGATTTTGACAGAAGGGACCTGTATAAGTGTTGTAAATACAAATGTGCATATATAAACTAACTTTTGTCAGCTGTCAGTGTTATTGTCCCTTTGAGAGTATGCACTTTCCTTTTTGAGCCAATTTTCCCATGATACAATAATTGTAGCCCCTTCTCTCACCTTTCTAAATGTGTTGAAATCATCTTGTTTGGTGTTGTTTTCATGGAGAAAAATGCAAAAAGGTCAAAAAAAACTTGGTTATCAAAAAATTGTTTACCTCATATCTCCACAATGGGAGCACTTTAGAACATACTTCAAACAGATTCAGGAAGCTACAGTGTAGAGCTACAACTTTGTTTTGAGCTATTCTTGGTAATTGGTCATGTGACCATCATCCTGATATCCTGTTGAATGAACCCTGACAAGCAGAATCATCACTATCTTGATTTTCTTTACTTTTCTCAAATTTCCTTTTTTGGATATGTACCCTGAACCTGACAACAGCTATTTGGAAATGTGCACAGACCCCATAAACAGTACCCCAACATTGTCAACAGTAGTCTATACTGTTTTTCTGTTTGTCTGGCTATAATTTCACTAATTACCATATTTGGAAATGTGCACAGACCATGTAAACACTACTCTATAATTGTCATCAACAGCATACATTATGTTTCTCCTTTTTTCTCTCTTTTTTGCACAAGGGGCAAACATCTTTCGTCACCAGGTAAAGAGGCGGTAAACAGTAAATAACTATGTTAAATCATTTATTCCTCATTTGCAGCAAAAATAATCATTAAATGAAATCAAAATTTTCTTGCTTATGATTTTTGCAGAAATGATAAAATGTTGTTGCTGGGGTAGGAAGATAAAGGTTAACACTGTTTTGCCACAGCAAAAATGATGAGGCAATGATTCAATGTCATTCAAAGCTCGTTCTGACACACAGGAACAGGAACAAAGAATTGACATATTTGCTGAGCAATGAGGTGATCTGGCCCACGTAGGAATGTCTAATTCCCTGGAAATTAGTTAAATTCTTTGTTCCAATTCCTCATGTCAGGAACAGGCTTTCAATGACATTAAGTTGTCACCTCATCTTTGTTGCTGCAGCAAAACAGGGTTGATCTTTATCTTCCTACTCTGGCAACAACATTTTCTTTTTATCAACCATTCCTACAAAAATAATGAGGAAAAAAATTTGAATTTTATTTAACTGATCATTTTTTCAACGAATGTGGAATAAAAAATTTAACATAGTTATTTACTGTTTTTCACCTCTTTACCTGGCAACAAAAGCCATTTGCCCCTTGTGTTGGCTATATTTGCATGAATTATCATATTTGGAAATGTGCACAGACCATGTATACAGTAACCTAACAACACCACCATACTCCCCCTATTCTTCCTGATTTTATTGGTATTTTTTATCTGAAAATGTAAAACTTGCCATATTTGGGAATTTTTAGTGTTCATTCCAGTCACTTCATTCCAGTGTCATTCCATTCCCATGCATTCCAGGGACTGTTCTGGTGTAAATACCGGAATAATGAGGTTCTGAAAATTTGGCTGGTAAATTCCACTGGAATGGCACTGGAATCCACAGAAATGACCGGAATCCGGCGGGAATCAGTGGGGCATGACTAAGGCCTCCTTACCGCCTCTGATGGGAACCTTGCTTTCTGATTTATTATACTTGAATTTATCTGCTCTGTAATTATATTTCATTTGGAATTCTGCCAGTGTAATTATATTTCAATCTACAAAAAATTTCTCCAGAGTGCTGCTCAATTGGGTAGTTCTTTGAGCCAACCTGCTTGTTGTGAGCTCACACTCTGGCTGGTATAGTTGGTCGGTTTATCACACACAATCGAGCTATCCAGACACTCAGGTCTTGCCCATCTCTTTGAGTCTCATCTAGATTTACTACTGCTATTTAAGATCTGTACAAAGTGGGCTGGGCAAGTCCTACAGCTGTTTCAGAAAACCTTGTCCACGTGTAATTTGATGCAATGGAAAATATAATAAATCAAAAAAATCAAAAAAAAGGAGTCTGGGGCTTTTCATTGTTTTTTTTGCCAGTCTAGCATCCATCTGATGGTCAATTCGACTCCAAATGCATCCTATAGAGCATAGCAAACGAATCAAGCCTTTTCGGTGCAGTTTGAAACTGAAATGCTATGAAGGTGTTGCCAGTGACACAGAGGACAAATTGAAAACAGTACCGACAGTTTGACATCGCAAACACCTGAGAAACGCCAGAGAATACTTGGAGGAGAGGAGAACACTGGATATGAACCAAATGTAGCAGTGAATGCATGCCTCAAGTGGCAGCTGAGGGCAGTGGCAGATTTGGTGCGTGTTCCTCAGCCATCTACCAACTGTCCTTACCCCGAAAACATTATTCAAGCTCTTTCCAGCTGGTATGCACTCAGAAAGCTTTCTATGCCTCATTCATCATCCCCCCCTTCTGGCCCTTCACTTCTGGAGTTGTGATGCACCACGCACTCCCTCGTGTGGAGGGCTAGTGTTTGGAAGTCCGGTCTCGTGACTGGAAAAAGACCGTAACCAGACCGGACCAAGACCGCAAAAGACCGGACCTGCGGTTACGGTCTTTTATTTTTGAAATGTAAAGACCGCAAAAAGACCGGTTAACGTGAACCGGTCTTGACCGGTTTGGACCGGTTTTTTGTAGCCCCTTAAATACCCTTTAAAACGCACCCAAGAACGTACGATTTGGTAAAAAAACGAGAGAGATATGAATTAAAATGTAAATTACTTTTGGGAATAATAGATGTACCAGACTTATTTTATAGAAGCACCAATACCTAACGGGATTTAACGTTCTTGGGCTCGTTTTGAAGCTATTAGAGATGTTAATAAATTTACCAATTCATAATTTTAAAATATTGGCCTAAAGACCGGTCATAAACCGGTTAAAACTGATGCAGACCGAAACCGGTCTATAGACCGCAAAAAACCGTGGTCTGCGGTCTTTTTGCGGTCCGGTCTGGTCTTTTGACTTCTGGGGAAAAGGCAGACCGGTTACGGTTACGGTTAACGCCCCTGGGCATCAAAAAACCGGACCGAACCGGACTTTCAAACGCTATGGAGGGCTCTCATGGGTTCCCACAACATCTGCACTACAAACACACCGAGGGCTCAATATTCAATGGTTAGCGTGATTTGGAGAAGCTCTACCTGATGCAACAGAGCAGATTTTCCGAGATAGATCATGTGGCATTGGCAGCTGTCACAACTCTACCATCCTCCCTCTCCCCTTGCCTCCCTCCCTCGGTCACTCCTTCCAATGAATTTCTTCTTCAATATCTAGAGCCTTGTGCTGGTCACCTTCTCCTCTTCCCCTCTTTCTTTGTGAGAGGGCATCATCCTATACAGCTAGCTGTATATGATCTAGTCCTCAGTAACAATGCTCGGTGCAGTTACAGCAATGTTAGATACATAGACTACTGTTCATACACACATCTCAGCATTAGGGGCGTTCAAAGCTGGGCACAGCTTGCAGACACAGCTCACAGCACACATAAGAATTAGCTTATATAACATGGTTTTCATAATCCACTGTGACTCCTTCATGACAAACACACTCGATGGGTCTTTTTTCTTGTACAACAGCGCTCCCACACACTCTTTTAACTGTTGCTATCCCTATCTATTGGCTATCATGATGTGTGCTGCCACTTCCAGAGCCAACAAGGCCGAGAAACCCCACATTCCTGAAATAAACTGGTCAGTAAATAATTCCGCCGCCATCTGGACCCTTCTGGCCAAGATTGAGAAGAGTGAAAACTATCACGTTCTTTATGGGAAAAAGGATGTGGCCAAGGTGAGTTTTCCCATACCTTCATCTTGTGGCTGTCTAACATGGCCTGTTCACAGAATACAAGTGGTGAAATGAAGGTTGCTGTGTATGCCAGGATTGCCAAAGCTGTCCTCCTGGAACTGTTTTCTCTTAACCCCAACATAGTTCACAACCATATCAAGAGCAAGCTTGAGAGGTAAGGACTTCATTTAATGTGTTGGTCTGCTCACACCTCTGGTTTCAGCCTTAAGAATGTATACAAGAAACACTCAAAGCAGCTCTGTTGGACTGGTGAAGGTGTTCAGGAAAATGAGGATGGCTCACAGGGTAGTAAAGAAACACTGTCCTTCTACATCATGGGTGATGGTCCTTGTGTTGAGACCCCTCCACATGCTGTCAACATATGGAGTGCATTGCTATCTTCTTGTAATTTGACCATTCACCTAATTTATTGATTTTCTAGAGGAAATCAAAGTGGATTTTCCCTTCTTCCCCACCCTTCACTGTATCTGGGCCTCCTGTCCAATCGTCATCACCACAGCTCTTGGCCCACAGGATTCAAAGACAGTCTGGTACCAGCCACCTGACGACAACAACAGTTGTACTAACGATAACAGTAACATTGACCCCCAGTTGCTAAATGACACTGTCGCTACAGTGGCACCACAGTGAGAGCAGTCATTTGGGAACAACACGGGAGGTTTGGTGAATGCCAATCAACAACCAAACCCGGTACCAGAGACACCGGGGCCTCAGCATGGCCCAAAGCCATCTTCCGTCTCCTGTGGCGCCATCAAAAATGCTGTCTCAAAGCTCCCACAGAAATGTTCGCTTGCAGATACTTTAATGGAAATTCAACGGTATTTTATTTTTGCTTCATCATCGTCTTTTCTTATGCATTTGTAGTGAGAACCTTGCAGCCCAGAAGGCTCAAAATCAAAGCCATATCAACCTTGAGCTGCATAAGCAGATTATTGATGAGGTAAAGATGGGCTTGTGGACCATTGAACAAGCTCAGGAGAAGATTGAGGCTATCAAGAATGACAGTTCCCCTCACCCTGTGAAACATCAGAAAAAGGTTGTTTGAGAGTTTAGCCCAGACTGGGAGGAAATCTCCTCTGGCTCTGAAGACCAGTGAAACAATGGTTTCTTTTCTCATCTGCATTTCCTATATTACTTGTGTTGTGATACCCATAATTCCTTGACCAACTGCCTACATTTCGCATTGTTATCATTAATATCTACTCTGCCACCCTCTTGTTGAACACCAGTATCTTCCTCCTCCTTGATAAAACCATGGAAATTCAGAAAATATGCTGCAGATCAGCTTCCCTCAACATCGATAACAATGTTATGAAGGATAATCACAACTGAAATCCATTTACAGGCTGTTGTTGGAGTTGATATGGACTCGAAGGCCACGCAAACACTGAAAGTGACCCTTGAGAGCACCAATGTAATACTCAGAGTGAACACAAAGGCCTGTGACTACCTTGTCAAAAAAGGCATTCATTGGTTCCAGAGATGCTGGCATTTTATGGACTGGGGTTGTTCGGGAATTGACTGCATAGGCTGAGTCTGCCCATGCAAATTCTTCTCCCTCGAAGAACCAATCAGGATGCATAGCAGCTGTAGTATGCTCAAAGGTGGTTGCATCATGGGCAGAGCCAGTCATGCCATGGGTAAAATCAATGATTCAAAGGTTTGAGGGTGTGTTCCCAATCTAAAAGAAAGGTTATATCAAACCCTACTAGCTAGATAAACACTTACTTGGACATTAAGACCATACTTTGCTTTCTGTGTGTAGTATGCATCCCCATTCTTTCCTGGTTTGTGATAGAGAACCACAATCATACCATCATACATAACCCAACCATCTCTCCATGATCCTCGGAAACCCAGATAGTTATCCATCCATTCTTTTTCAGCCTCCTTCTCAGCTGGTGTCAGCTTTCAGACAAACTGGCTCTGGAGGGAGAGGATTGCTTCAAAGCAGCGATCTGTGTAGTTTATGACAGAACCTTCAGAACACCCTGCAGCACAAGCAATATCTTCGACACTGCCACCATTGCCATACCTTCCCATTCAGAAAAGGGTAACAGCTAACTGCTGCTCAACAGGTGTTTGCCCAAGGTTTAGTGTTTGGAAGTCTGGTCTCATGACTGGAAAAAGGCCATAACCAGACCGGACCAAGACCACAAAAAACCGGACCACAGGTCCGGTTTTTTCATTTTTGAGAAGTAAAGACTGCAAAAAGACCGGTCTAAATGAATTGGTCTTACCTGGTTAGGACCGGTTTTTTGTAGCCCACTAAATATCTTTCAAAACGCACTCAAGCACGTATTAATTGGTTCAAAATTGACAAAGATATAGTTGAAAATGTAAAATTTCGTTAAAAATAGTAGATGTACAAGACTTTTTTTATAGAAACACCAATTCTCAACGGAATTTAATGTTCTTGGGCTCTTTTTAAAGCTATGAAAGACATTAACAAATTTACTGATTCATAATTTAAAAATATTGGCCAGAAAACCAGTCTTAAACCAGTTAAAACCAAAGAAGACCAAGACCAGTCTATAGACCGCAAAAAACTGTGGTCTGCAGTCTTTTTGTGGTCTGGTTTGGAATTTTGACTTCTGGGAAAAATGCAGACCGGTTACAGTTACGGTTAAAGCCCAGGGGCATCAAAAAACCGGACCAGATCGGACTTTTAAACACTACCAAGGTTTGTGTCATTCTTGAAGACATCATGATCCTCAATAAGATCAAGAATTGTGAGGAAGACAAGAGGTGTAACATGAAGCATGTTGATGAAGCAGTGATGGTGGGCAGGATATTGAGAGAACTTGCATGCCAGATCTATGTTACCGCATTTCGGGACAGGAGGACGCTCATTAAGATAACGAGTTTCCTTGAGGAGAGCAATGATTTCAAGATCTTTTTGGAGGTTCAGAGTGTATTCTTCAAGGTTTTCGGGTGGCAAAAAAATGTCTCGAGTTCCCATAGATAGTAAGAAAGAGTCTATGAGGTCTTTCCCCAGTGGTTTCGAATGCATAGCGAGGATAACTGACAAGAAAGGTGCCCAGCTTATCATAGATTAGTGATTTGAATCAGGCGTGACACGCACACTGGGCGGACTCCGAAATCTACCTTATATAAGCTAATTATTATGCGTGCTGCGAGCTGCATCTGCGAACTGCGCCCAGCTTTGAATGCCGTAAACAATCAATTACACTCGTTCACGACGTCTTACAGCTCTTTCGTGGCTCGTTTGGATTTTCTGAATTTTTGGATTTAGTTGATTTTTCGTCACATCAAATCACGTGTAGTCAAGCTTTTCCGAAATGGTTCGATTTCTTGTATTTAAATAGTTGCTGTATTTAAATACCTTCCTCCCTTCTCCATCTTTCACAACACGCTAAAGTTGGGGCGCGATGGTGTAGTGGTCCATTCGCTGCGAACATCTGGGTGTTGAGGCATCCAGGTGGTCGAGGGTTCGAAACCTGCCCCCCACCACCACCGGACTACATGTTGACACCGGGGTTTCTCACCACTATCTGCATCAGTCATCTGCTGAGGGTGTGCGGCTGTGAAGCCGGTTTATGGGAGTCTCTGCAGGGGACATCACACCAGAGCCGGGGTACCGGCCCCAGGGTATGGGAGGATTATGCCGAAAGGCCCGCCCAAGCGAAATGCAAAATTGGTGCCTGAAAGATGGCCCCGCTACCATATTGAGGGGTTCGCCGCATCCATAATACAATGGTTCACACTGTTTACAACCCTATCACCACTACCTTCAAGTCAGCTTGCTTACTAATCGCACCCACACGGGATAAATCTACCCACGGTCCTGGTTCAGTACGCACTTAAATGGGCCTCTACTAGCTTGCCGTTATACGGAGCCACCCGGGGGGATAGTCGGCCTTATCAGGAATTTGCCGGAGGATTTGGGGGCAGAGGTTATGTTCAAAAATAGTTCAGCCAGGTCACAAAGTTGGATAAAGGATCTTGTAAATAATAACACCAACCCATGACGCACGTGACAGTTGTAGGTATACATCTTAGCCTGGGGGGGGCCTACATACCATATATAGCTTAGATAGCCGGGATTGGATGTAGTGGCACATGGGCGTGCCTCGCTTACGAGCATGGCAATAAAAGATCAATAATAATAATAATAATAACACGCTAAAGTTATGTCATGCAGCGAACACTGCTTTCTTACCTTTCGCCGCCGTCCTCTTCTATATTCTGTCCTCGACGCTGGACGCGATGGCTTCTTCAAATTACCACTGCCGTTTCGCCCACCTGTCGTTTGCCTTCGCCAATTGTTGTGCCTGCCTGCAGGCAAAGCCTCCTCTCAACCCACAGCAGCATGCTGTCATTGTCAGCTACATCCTACAAGACCGCCCCCGTCTCTGCCGCTGCCTCGCGCCAGTCTCTTCCGCTGTCTACGACGTCCACTGCGTCGTCTCCTCACACCATCACTAACCGAGATGAAGACAACAACAACGGCGACCAACCTCAGATTATTATGGTGACCAGCGAGGTGGAGGTAGAAACTGGCCCTGCTGGTCAAGATAGCTATTTTACCAGAACGACGGTGACAAAGTCGGTGACGACGGAAACGGTGCAGCCAAGCGGTGACAACGAAGTCCACTTTGGTCCGCCACCGCCCTCTCCCCCTGCCAGCGTTGAAAGAGACTAACTGGAGCCGCCTCCTCCTCCCAGTCGTCTACTACCCGCGTCACACTCAGATTCCGTCATTCGCGAGTCTTCTAATGCTCGAGAACGTGAACGTCAAGCATCATCCACGTCTTCCCGACTAACAGCCAGATCATCCACATTCGACAATACCCTCCATAGGGCCTCAACCGACACCAAAGGCTCACTTCCAACTCTCCGTTACGCCTCACCCCCCACCGCCACCGCCGGCGAATCATCATCATCAAAATCAGCAGCATACGATCCATACCTCCAGCCTCCAGTCGCCATCATCCCCATGCGTCCAACACGGCGAAACACAACTGGCTCAAGCCCCATCGCTGCCAGTTTCAAGCGCGGCCATCAGACACATACGAGGCAATATGGGAGCTCGTCGCATTCGCCTGAGGATGCGTCGTATATCGGTGAAGTGGGGATTGAGCTGGCGTCTGATATTGAGATTGCGGCGGAGCAGATTAGGAGGGAGAGGATGGAGAAGAGGGCGAAGCAGCAGCTGCAACAAGAAGCGGAGGCGGCGCTTACGCGTGCTGAGACGAGGCCCAAGTCCGAGCAGGATATGCCGCTTGTGGGCAACCTTATTGGGGAGGATCATGTGAATTATGTGTTGATGTATAATATGTTGACGGGTATACGTATCGGGGTGGGTTTTCTTTGTTTCTTTATTCATGATACACGCTCACGTCTAGCAGGTTTCTCGATGTCAAGCTAAAATAAAACGACTACTGACGATAGAAGACTTTACCGCTCGTCACAAGTTTTCATTCGATATAGTCGGAAACGAGCTGACTCCTTCGGCAAAATACGATTTCAAGTTCAAGGATTATGCGCCTTGGGTATTTCGGACACTTAGGGAAGACATATTCCATCTAGACCCCGCAGACTACCTCCTCTCCCTCACCGCAAAATACATCCTTTCCGAACTCGGATCCCCCGGAAAATCAGGGTCGTTCTTTTATTTCTCGCGAGACTATCGGTTCATAATCAAAACCATTCGACACTCTGAACATAAATTCCTCTTGTCCATCCTCCCACAATACTTTGACCACGTCAAAGAAAACCCACATACGCTCTTGAGTCGGTTTTACGGCCTACACCGCGTCAAACTTCCCCGAGGTCGGAAAATCCATTTCGTGATCATGAACAACCTTTTCCCACCACATAAAGATATCCACGAGACGTATGATTTAAAGGGGAGTACGGTGGGCCGTGAGTACCCCGAAGATAAAGCCGCGCGGAACCCTCGGGCTGTGTTGAAGGATTTGAATTGGATAAAGAGGGGGAAGGCGTTGGATTTGGGACCGGAGAAAAGGGCGTTGTTGACGGAACAGCTTAGGAGGGACGCGGAGTTTTTGAGGGGGGTTAATGTTATGGATTATAGTCTTTTGGTGGGGATACATAATATGCAGAGGGGGAATAGGGATAATGTTAGGAGGAATACGTTGAAGGTGTTTTCGGTGGGTTTCCTTCGTTTTCATTCTCCGTTCCTACATTGTTTGTGCTCACCCCTTCGTTATTTGTTTTTATAGCCGGACCTCCCCAACTCCCTAGGCCGCTCAAAAACCATGTCAGGCGGCCACAAATCCCCCGAAGCCATCGCCATGCGTCGGGCCATGCGTTCGTCCGACCCTAAAAGGCTAGGCAAACATACCATCCGACTCCCCGAAGAAGATATCGGGGATCGACTTCAGTTGATCTTTTATCAAGACGAGGGAGGGTTGAGGGCGACGGACGAAGGCAATGAAGGGTTGGATGTGATTTATTATTTGGGCGTTATTGATATTTTGACGCCTTATTCGCTTGTGAAGAGGGCTGAGCATTTGTGGAAGGGGTTGAAGGCTGATCGGGTGAGTTTCTTTTTCTGCTTGCTTTTTGGGAACTTGGAGATGTTGATGATGTGAATAGCATAAGATTAGCCCGGTTCCACCTGGGGAGTATGCGGAAAGGTTCTTTGATTTTATGAAGGCTATTATGAGAGGGGGTGAGGGGGGTGCGCGGTTTGAGGCTGAATAGACTTGTGTTGGGTTCACGTCTTGCGCCGCCGTTTTTCTCCCTCCTCATCCGTCACCCCGCCCGCCTCCCTAGGCCGTTCGTTCATACGGCAAGCTCCCACCCATCCGCTACCGCGGTCCCTCCCGTCCTTCTCCACCCAGCCATCCCTACCTCCAACCCACACCAAACCAAACGAACCCACTCATTGCTGGAAGTCAGAAGTCAGAAGAAGACCCACCACAAGAAAAGAGACCCCTGCAATCACAAAAAAACCATCCATCCATCCATATACTGTATCAAACGACAACAACGCCCCACCCACCCGGACCTCACTCACTCACTCAAACTCAAATCACGCTAGCATAAGCAATACCCGGGTTCATAATTTCCATCATTCTTTATCACTCAATTTAACTATCTCTCTCCACCACCACGCTCATTTGATCGATCTCTCACTCAGTATACCTTTTCTTTTCCTTTCGAACGCGTATCTTTTTTGTATCTATATACGATTTGTCTCTCTCTGACTCTCTGGACTTTCTCTCCCTCGAGCTATTGGCGTTCTCGTCGCCCTCACTGTCCTTTTTCGATAGCTTATCTCTATAGCGAACTATGGTTTCTTTTGGCCATGACTACCACACTCATTCACTCATTCGTCTTTTACGAGACATCTGCACTTACATGCTTCTTCCCCTTCCAAAATTCGACATTTAACATGCCTCCTGCTTCAAGTTGAACGATCCATCCCCGGATTTCGCGAATATGCCATTAAACAGTGGTTTTTACTACGATACAGTATGTGATACAAGAAAAGATCCCAGTGGTTCATGGTAATAAATTATACAAAAATCAAACATCGCATCACTCAGACTCTTCCTCGGCTTGGACAGGTTTCTTCCGGGTAGCTATCAGGGTTACGACCGGTCAGTTCATGGGTACCGGCAAGACAAAGGAAAGGACGGCGTACTTCGCTTTGAGGCCCGTTTCTTCGCTGCCTTCTTCTCTACACGCTTTTCGAGCGCTTGGTCCTCTTCTCCCTGGTTCTTATGTTCTTCCAGAAGCTAATTGATGATCGACTGTCAGCGGCAATATGGATAACGTTCTATTAGAACGTACATGCTCGAACTCATTGAGCTCATTATCCGGCTTGTCCTTGGATTTATTAGAACGTGCCTGTAGATAAAGAAGTAAGCGTCAGAGCCTGAAACCGCAAGACGGGAGAGACGTGCCTTTGCCAGAATCTCTGTAAACTTTTCGTACACCTGTGGTTCGTGTAGTTTATCCCGGTAGAACTGGAAGCCCTCGATCAGCTTCTTGACGGACCGCTCCGATTTGAATGGGAGGAGGGAAAGACAGAAAGCGATGTCGCGCCATTGACGAGGATCTTCGCTGAGCCTGAAACGCTGGCATAGCTTCTCGACGATGTTCTCTGCTTTTTTTTCCTGAGATACGTGATAGTAAGGCAGCTGCGTATCAAGACAGACAGCTCGAGAAACGGACCTTTTCGATAAAGGTGAAGATATATTGGAGTGTACTCCTGAAAGTCTTTTCGTCAACGGCATGATCACCCGTCGACAAGTGGCTGATCACTTTTCGAACAAAATCAGTATTCCGTAGTGAGCGTCAGACAAAAAAAACTTACCATCAGGAAGGTTATTGTAGATCGCGTTCTCCTTCGTAGACAGCTCGCTAAAGAACAGCTTGGCGAAATCGGCAATACGTGCATCTTCATCTCCGACACACTTGGCCATTTCACCAAGCTGACCTTTCACCTTGATCATCCCATTCAGAATCAAATGCGTCAAGACCATGAGCGTATTCTTCTTGACAATGATGCTGCCGTCCGAAAGGCCCTTGTACAGCTCGTTACTGTTCTCGTCGATGATGTTGCTAAAGGACACGGCGACATCGCCCAACGCGATGACGATGTTGCTCCGGATGTTGGCGTCTTTGGACGTCTCGAGGATCTTGAATAATAGCCGGTGGTTCTGGTCGCAGAACTGCGAACTGACGCAAAGGAACTTGCTGAATGATAGCGTTGCAGCTGCTCGCAATGTTGGGCTCTGCAAACAAGATTAAGATTACTCAGAAACGCATACTAGGACAGTCTACGAACCTTGAATTTGTGAGGGCTACCACAGATATGGACGACCATGGGGCCGTACATCGCCAAAAGGGAGTCAGTGCCGTAGAGCATCTCCGTTTCACGAACACCTGCGACGCGATCTCCAATTTCGTCCTCTGCATTACCAGCAACTTGATCAAGCTCCTCGCCATCCTTGGAAGCTTTATCGGTGCCTTTCGCCCTCGCTGCCAACTTTTCGGCTGCGAGACATGCATGGTTACTTGACGAAATCACATATGACGAAGAAGACATACCAGCTTGTTTTTCGTCCTTCTGGCGCTTCCACTCCCGCTCAACAAGTTCCAGAAACACGATCTGCTTGATAGCCACATGTCCCACAATGAAAAGAAGTTGGCTCAGCTCAAACGCGTCGCCGACATCCTTCTCCTTGTCATCCTGCTGCGTTCCGTGAGTCGAGTCCTGTGTGGCCGTGTCCAGAGAGTTTTGGGTAACGTCTCCTGCATGGTCTTCAGCCATAGCATCAGGGCCCGTCTCCGCCGTTTCGTTATTGATTTTGGGAACAGCAGGTTTGGGAGCACGAGGGGTGAAAGCTTTGATAGTGAATTTCTTGATGAGCTCATTGCAGAACAGGTCTGGATGCTCGCCGAGCGCATATACGGTGTTGATAACCTGCTCGGCGAACCCGAACCATTCTCGAGATCGACAGGGATGGTTGACGGCATCTTGGAGTTTGCGGAAGATGGAATTGGTCATCTCGATGCGCATGGTCTTGTCGAGGAGGGAACCTGTCATGGTGTTAGTCGAATCCATGCATCCCCTTGACTCTGCACCAGACATACCTTTGACCTTCTTAGCACTCCCGTTCAATCGCTGCAAGGCCACACAGGTGTATCGAGCCAAGGTAAGATCAGCCTTATAGTTCGCATTAGCTCATACCGAATAAGATTGACAAAAAGATTTCACCTTGCCCAACGGTCCCAAACCCACTTTGAGTAAAGTGTCAACGCGACCACTCAGGACGCTGCGTCTTCCCAAGGCAAGCATGCCCAAGATGATGATGGCTCCACGGCGCTGCTGGCTCGGAATGTTTTGTTTAGAACCTGTATGACGGAATGTAAGAATAAAGAAGCGCCATATTGCAAGGTGAACATACTATAGATCTACCAAAGCTTGGAAATAACATCTTGATGAATCTGCTCCTCTTCACTCATAATACGCATCATCTCCTCCAAACTTGTTAGTTCAGCCAGAGTGGTCTCATACGTTCGCCTAATGGAAAGAAATTGTCGTAAGAACTTCACCAAAAAAGAAGGGAAAGGGGAAGGATAACGCACTCAACCAAATTCTTCGCAATACGGCTGACTTGCTCTTTGGGCTGCAGACCCTCGATAGCTTCAAAGTACAAACCGCGATAACAGTCCAGCAACCTCTGCCGAACACCTTTAGCCTCCTTAGCCTCCTCCGCAGGTCCAGAATTGTTGTTGTCCTTCACCCATATCAAATGCAGCATCTTCCTAATCCCGGCCTATACAAACGAAACGAACATGAGCCCCCAATCACTCGCCCTCCAACAAAACCGAGACCAACCTTAGCACTCTCGAACTCATAATCATGCGCAACCTTGAAAAACTCTATAGCCTCAGCAACCTCCAGCTTATTCTTCGATCCCAGAAGCAGTCCCATAGGCTCCATGGCACTCTCAATCTGACGAATAAACGCCAATCCCTCGACGAAATATTTCTTGCGCAACCTCATCAGCTGAAGTTCTTGACCCTCCAACCCAGCCAGGACAGCTTGTTCCTCGGTAACGGCAGCCACGTTCAATTGAGATTTGCGGGGTTTGAGCTTTGAATGTTTCTTTTTCTTCTTGGGCTTTTTCTTGGGCGTGGCGTTCTCGTCGTCGTCGTCCACGGCCATTTTCGCGTCGTCCTCGTCCTCGTCTTCCTCGTCGCTCTCTTCGTCTTCATCTTCGTTCTCTTCTAGTTCGGTATCTACATCCATCGAATCTTCTTTCTTGGCCTTTGTCCTAGTAAACGAGAACCCTCAGTTTAATCAACACGCGAACGGCATAAAAAGTACTTTTTCGACTTCTTCCTCTTCCTTCCAGATTCACCCTCCTCCCCTTTACCCTCCTCTTCTTCATCCTTCTCCTCCTCATCATCATCCTCCCCCTTCGGCTTCTCAACCGCATTCCCAATCTTCCCCTCAACCTTCTCCAACTCCTTACAAACATCCTGATACGCCGCCTGCCACACATCAAGCTGCAACATACCCCCATGCGTGCGATACGGATGGGTCTCCAACAGCTTCACCAAAAGCGCCGCAGCCGTCTTCCTCACCGTCGCGCCCTTATCCGCCAGCGCAGCAATGGCAGCACCGGTAATCGCCAAGCGCTGTTTAGGAAACTTGGGCTTCAAATCGCACATCTTTGCGAGAACTTGGAGGAGCTTCGTGCGCACGTATGAGGAGATGTCGAGCGTGCGTTCGAGGAGCAGGTCGAAGAGCCCGCTTATTTGCTTTTGGGCGGTTTTGGAGTTGTCGTTGTCTGTGCTTGTATTTGAGAGCTCGGTGATGATGGAGCCGATGACTTCGACCAGGGCTTGGCGCATTGGGTATGACTGGTGCGTGAGATAGGTACTCGTCAGGCGGTGAACTTAAGAAAGAAAGGAGCAAGACAGACCTCAGAATCCAGCTGGTCTAGAAGGAGACTGAGCTGTTTGAGTATTGCGCGTGGAGCGAGCTCTGCGAATTTGACGAGGAACCTCGCGAATGCACGAGGGCCTTTGCTATCTTGCGCGTTGAAAGTCTTGCCCGCGATGTCGCGGAGGATTTCGTCCCCGACTTGAGCATGGTCGTACTCCCCAGCGAGGACGGTGAGGCACTCTGCCATGGGCTCGGAGAGGTGTTCGAAGAATGTAAGAAATTGGATGATGTTGATGTGAACAGCAAAAGATTGACCATGGTGTTTCACGGAGAGACAGATGACTTTGTAGACCCAGAGCTTGATATCTGACTTTTTCATGTATTGTTCGTTTTCAGCGACGTGATATGCGGGTCTTGTAATGGTTCTACAGTTATGTTAGAAGATAAACGAACAACAGAAAATAGCAACGCACTTGATAAAGTCTTCCCTTTCAGCAGTCGTCGTCCAAATACGTTGCGTCTGAAGACGCAGAACTTTGACAATCAGCCCAAGTGTCGCAGGGATCTGGTCCTGCCAAGTCCACGCCTCATTCTTCTTGCTCGCAGCTCCACGACCTGCCCCTCTCCCCGCTCCAGCCTTCCCTCCCCTCCCTCTCCTGCCCTTGGTAGCCGCTACTGGGGGTGGCGCATCGCCATCCTCAGTGGCCTTGACCTTCTCAGCCGCCGTAACGAACCATTGCAGCAAAAACGCGTACAACTCCAACGGCGTTTTATGCGCCATGTACGATTGCTGATCTCCCAACTCCACATCACGCATAGTAGCCTCTAATTCCGCTAAGAGGCCAGAGGAAATGGAGTCGAGAAGCTTGCTCATAACGGAGCCAGAGACCGCG